GTGGAATTCAGACGCAGGCTTCACTATGAGCCTCCAGTAAGCCTGTTAAAATAGTAAAGAGGGAATCAAGAGGGCTGCCCCAGCAGTGTGTCTCCCAGCCTGTCTTTCTCCGGGCTCTCAGAAGGTAAGGCTCTTAACAAAAACACACGCGCAAGAACTTATCAGGCCCTCATGACCTCTGCCAGCTGAGTTCTCATTTCCCTGTCTGCTCCCAATGCATCTGAAAACCCTACCTCCTGCCCAATGTAAGTCTAGTTCCTCATACCAGAATAATTTGTTAATTTTTTCTAAATTCTAAAGTGATGCCGCAGATAGCAAACTCTGAGTTTGACCTGTGTTCTCCTAGAACACATGGTAGATAGCAATGCCCAATTCGTAGCAACGGGGCATCTCTGAGCAAATGTCTCCTGCCAGCTGTTTGCTGCAGTCATTTGGATGTTTGCTCCTGTGCCTTTCGTGTTGTGGTTAAGCAGCCTATTTCCCGTCAGGATCACTGGCAAGAGGTTGGGAACAGAATGGAGGAGGGAGACAGGGTGTGGTTCTGTAAGAATCAATGGCTCTCCTCCTCATGGGCTGTGTAGACTTGAACGAGGTCCCCTCTCCAAACCTTTGTTTGCTCATGGCTGCAAATGACAGCAGCCTCTCTGCTTCACAAAAGGGCATATGAAGCAACCCTAGCATGGTCTCCAGCAGGCTCAGCGGGCATTCCTCCTCTGCCCCCACCGTATCCATATGGCCGCTCTGTAACTATTTCTGTGTTTAAAAGAGCTAAACCTGCCTGTTTTCACATTTATTATGATTCTTTCACTTCATAGGTCTATCTGCACATTGAGTCCTCACAATTCAGATGGAAAGAGTGAAGGCTTTTCAGAACATCAACTGATTAAGTGAGGCCCACCCACACTCAAAAGGGCCATCTGCTTTCATTACATGGATATGCTGAAGACAGATTGTTGAAATATTCTTTGTTTTTTATTTAAACTTGTTGCATAATGTTGGTTCTTTTGAGGTGATTTTCAACTAATTTTCAGGTCAGTTGAATGTTTCATCTTAACGATATAATGGTTGAAAAGGAAAGGAAGTCATCACTTACCCACAGTGGTGGTGAATTCCCATTGTGTTATCAGCCAAGGGAAGGGATTAGGGGGAAATATTTCACCCAGAAAATCAGAGTGGTTGGTTGACTTTGCCTTTTAGTTATTAAGGGTACTAATATATTTTTTATCAATAATGACTTAAGGCCCCTAGAAGTTCATGAACCTGGAGTGGGTGTGTACTTCCCACTCAGTTGTGCTGTGTAACTTGCACCTGAGGGTAACACGAACTCTCCCTGGGCAAGATGTAATCAGGGAAAGGAAGGAGAAAGCAGAGCTCAGAGCAAGCAGAAAGCCAAGCTGGAGATCAACAGAGGCCTCAGGGGCCATGTTTGCATCTTCCACAGAGGGGCAGACACATTCCCCCTTCTTCAGTAAACACACACTTCCAAACATGCAGACACACACATGCACACACAGAGACATGCACACACCACACACACACACACACACCACACACATACACCACACAGACACACCACACGCACACAACACACACACCCACACATACACCACACAGACACACCACACACACACAACACACACATACACCACACACACACAACACACACACACAACACACATACGACACACAGACACACCACACACACACCACACACAACACACACACACACACATACACACGCACACACAACTAGTTATGTTTCTGAATATTACAAACATCCTTATAAAATGTGAAATGTACAAAGAACAGTTCCTGGAGCTTCTGATGGTTCCTGGCTGACCTTGAGGTTGGAGGTGAAGACACATTAAGGGCTTAACGATGGGGAGATGATGACATAATCACTGTGGAGCCACAGTGGAAGAACTGAGACTCAGCACTGGTAGACATCTCTGTTACCAAATGAACGCACCTCCCTAAAGAGCTCTGGCTGTGAGTCAAAGGCTTCATTTGGGTCAAGACAGGGTTATTGTACAAAAGGCCAAGTTTCATTCTGCAAATCCACATCCACATCAATATTTTAAAGTGATTTCCTCCAAGTTCTGTGTAGAGCAAGCCAACAGAGGGAAAATGGCTCTGGGATATCTGTCGAGGTGCAGACGGACTGACCACAAGCCGCTTGTCCCCAGCGTAGCCCTGGGCTCCCTTCTACCACAGTGGCCATATCTGTGAGGTTCTGCCCTTGCCCTGGGGCCACTGCATCAGTCAGGGTTCTTCAGAAAAACGGAACCCATGGGAGGTATACTTATAGCACACACAAAGGCTTTATTATATGGAATTGGCTCATGCAATTATGGAGGCTGACACATCCAACATCTGTAGATCCAAGGTCCCAGTTCTAGTCCTGTGAGGATTCTCCTGGTTAGAGACTTTTCTCTAACTAGGGAGAGTGTTGGCTTTTTGTCTTCAGTAACAGTCTACTCAAGCCCTCAACTACTTGGGTGAGGCCCAACCCCACCAGGAAGGGCTGTCTGCTATCCTCAGTCTGCTGACTCACATGTCAATCTCATCCAGAAAGTCCCTCACAGACACATTCGGAATAATGTTTGACACATATGCTCCAGCCAAGTGTACGCATACAATTAACCATCGTAACTGTCTGCTAGACCCCTCTCCTTCTCTGGAAACCTTCAGGACTTGAGGGGTCAAGCTCATGTGTGCAAACTATGACCAACACTCATTTTCCTGAGAAGAGGCCTTAGACAAAAAAATAGCATGCGCGCACATTTACTCAGATATTGACTGTCTGTTGCAGCCTTTGCACTAAACAGAGCCAAGAGTAGAGATAGTGCAGATTAACTCAGACCCAGAAACTTGGGGAGGCACCCTGGGATCCTGGAAGCAGAGGCTGGGGGGGCAGAAGGGAGGGAGAAAGGAGGTGCATTTACTCTGTTCTTCTGAGACAACACTGCTCTCCCGCAGTGCACTGGTTCTGCTGGACAAAGGGCTCACTTTGAGTTGGAATCTTAAAACTGCATGTTCTTTAACTATATTGCACCTGCTCACCAGGCTGAGGACACTAATTTGTTGAGAAAGTGAATGTATTTCATTTTTTAAATTAAAAAACATGTAAGGTCATATTACATAATTATGATATGTAATACATTTATTCAAATCATATTTAAGTTTAAGCCCACATGATTTTCAAAAGTATATAAATATAATTCATAGTATCTTTTAATTTTATTCCCATAAGCCTAGATTTGATTTAAAGTCTGGGCGCACAGGTAGAGAAATGTTTTTGTTGTTTAGCACCTGCCATTTTATCTTTCCCCAACTTTTCATTATGGAAAAAGTACAGATACAAAGAAGAACAGATTGTACAACCCCAGTCCTGTATCCACCACCTAGAACCAATCATCACCAACATTTTGTCATATCAGCTGATGTGCACGAACTGTGCTGAACCATGTAAAATAAGTTTTAGACATCAAGACATTTTACCCTTTAATACTTCAGCAGCACCTCCTAAAATTAAAGCCATTCTCCTAAATAAACATGATGCCATTATCACACCTAAAGACATTACCAAAAATTCCATATCATTCAATATCCCCTTTAATTTGTAATTTCCTCCAAAATGTTTTTTTTTGTGTGTGTGCTGGTTTGTCCAGCTGGGAGTCAATCTGGATTCGTGCTTATTATTACGCTTCTTTTCAGCTGTTCTCATACCAGAAGAATCCCTCACCCTTTTTCTTGACATTGATTTTTTGGAAGAGATCAGGCAACGGACTGCAGGACGCCCACACTCTGATAGTCGAGTTGTTTCCCATGGTGTCATTTAACTTCTTGCTCAAGCCCTTCTTTCCTGTAAACTGGAAGTAAAGTCTAGAGGCTTTGCAGTTGATTCGACGGAAGCCTCTTTGGCAACCACACAGCACCAATGAGGTTGTGTGCTTCTTTTGCATCACATAATGCTAGGCTAAGCCAGTACTAGTAACAGTGAGTTTGATTTTCCTTTAAGGTACAACCAGATGTCTCCACAAAAAAATGAAAAATGGAAAACTTTTTTTTTTTTTTTTTCTAATTAGCACCAGTTCGCCTGCACACTTTCGCCTAAGGGTTTGACACCCACTAGCACACACTGGCTGGCTTAATTATTTCACTAAGGGTTACAGAATAGGGATGTCCTCATTCTCCCATTTCTAAGTTTATGAGCTGGCATTCTTCTGTGAAATTGCTTTCCCTTGTGAACCAGAATGCAGAGGGGGGAGACTTATTCAACAGAATTGTAGAGAGGGCTGTTTCTCTCCAGAGCAGTGGTGAGAGGAGATGGTCTCTACAGAGGCACGGAGAGCTCCTCATCAGGGTCTAGTGACTGAGCTTTAAGGCTCAGGGAAGGGGCAGTGTATGAGGTGGGGCAGTGGGTAAGTGAGAGGCCTGTGTGTGGGGAGACCCACTGAGGACAGGGATCTTTAGGGAAAGGGAGCCTCAGTGGCTATTTTGGGAGGAGACATGACAAGAAGAGGGAGCAAGCAGGGTTCTATGGCCCTGGTCATTTTCTATTTTTGACTGAGGAACTGATTCCTGGGTGTGTTTAGTTCATGAAAACTAGAAAAGCAGGAAACAGGATTTGAGCACTTTTTCTACGTATGTTATACTTCCATAAATGTTTAAGAAATGCACTGCAGGAATTTCTTAGAAATGTCAGTCACATTACAGAAAGACACAGGAACCATCTGGAACATTTTGCCAAGCATGTCTTTCGTCAGAATTAGGTTTCTATTGATGCTCATAGGTTCACATAAACCATCAAGGATATTCGAAAGCACCAACATCACTCAGAGGAATTTCAGTGATGCCGTGGTCAGATTCTGGGTCTCTCTCAGGGAAACCTTCCATAAAGCATGAAAGTCACATTACTCCTCGGGGCTTCTGGAGTCCAATTTCGGAGACTAGTTTTGGAGGCATGACCACACCTCAAGTTTACTCTATTATATCAGGGTTATAGACTTTTTCCAGGAACCGAGACCTGGGTGCCAGTTACAACAAACCTCAACCAGTACCCTAGCAGTGAATTTTTCATCACGGGAAGCAACAAATTGAACAGATTTGTTGATGAACTTACTGGCCATTTGGGTAACTACAGACACAGTGGCCACAGTATGCTGTGTTGTTATCCCGACTGTGAGGACGCCACATGTTCCCTTCTTCTGTTGACTCGATGCTGTAGGAGTCTAACAAAGGGAAACACACGCAGGCTCATATGCAACTTGGGACAGAAGTGGCTTCTCAGAGCCGCGCACCGACACTCTGAGCAAGTTGGAAGGCCACAGTACCAGGAGGCTCCACAGTGGCACCTGCAGCGTGGATTAGGTGAAAACGCTGGGAAGTCCCCCAGCTCCCGGGGCCAGAGCCTTTAGGGCCGGCAGCCTCCACAGGCGGGGTCGCTGGCTTCCTTCAGCTCAATTGCTGAGGGCTTGCATTTCTCAGCAGGGAACAGGAGTGCAGCCAACTTCCACTCTTGCCTTAGTATGTGACGGGCCCTTCACCGCTCAAACTGCACCCCAAGTAAGCATATGCACCCTGCTCCAAGGGAAGGATGTGCTGGGTTCATCCTCTGGAGGCAGGAGGGCAAAAGACAAGAAGTAACCAGCCGCCTTTGCATGAAGCATCCCCACCTCGGTGCAGCTGAGCTGCGGCCCCAATTCTGCCGGCCCAGGAATACGCAGTCCATAACAGGCCTCTCCTTCCTCCTTCCTTTTTCGTCTTCTTCCTCCACTTCTCTCCTCTCTCCTTTCCCTCCTTCTCCTTTTTCTTTCTTTTTCTTCTTTCTCCCCAAGCTTCCACGGCTGCTTCTGTGTTCGCTCAATCACGGCCTTTGCCACCGATGGAAAATTTGGCAGTTTCCTCCCTGGGATTCTTCTGTTTGAAGCCTTCACATGAATTTTTCTTTTTCTTTTTGCCACACAAAAGGGGCAAATCCGTATGAGGAAGGGGGTCGCATGGGGGTCGGCTGAGATCCGCCGGTCGCCAGTCTAGGAGGGGCGCTGCTCTGTGCTGGGGAGGACGCTGGTGCACCAGCAGGGGCTGGGGGGAGAGTGCCGCCCCCGCCTGGAGCCGAAGCCTTTGCGTGCCTGGCGGGTCGAGCACAGAGAGGGAACAGGCAGGCGCCGGAGGGGACCAGGGCCGAGAAGCCCAAACAAAAACACTGTCCGGCGCCAGACGCCCACCTACAACCCCAAGCTGGTGGTCGTACAGTTCCAGAAGGAAACGGTCAGGGTCGGGGCAACGATAATGATAGTATTAATCCTATTAAGAGTCGGCCCAAACCCTCGCCGTCAGCGCGGCAGGCGCCGGCCCAAGCCCAGTTCTCGGACCGGGTTCGCCACCTGTTCCTGCTGGGTCTCGGGGCGCCCAGGGTGGGCACCTGGAGCTCGCCGGATGAGGACAGGGTCTGGAGGCCGGCCTAGAGACAGGGGGCGAAGAGCGAGCGGACCCTAGGGGATTGGCGGGGTGGGGGAGAAGGGGTGCAGGGTGGGGGCGGGCGGGGCGCCGGGAGACCAGGCGGCTTGGGCAGGAGGTGGGGAGCGGGAGGAGTGCGAGGATCGGGGGCGGAAGGCGGGGACCAGGGGGGCGGGGAGAGGTGCGGGAGTCGGGGACGGTCAGGGGAGGGGCTGTGCGCGGGTCCCGCCCCGGCGGGCCGCTGGAAAAGTTTCGTCTCTGACTCGCTCGGGCAGAGGCCGAGGAAGCCGGTTCTGGGGACAGGGGACCGGGACCCGGGAACCCGAAGGCGGCGGCAGGACGTGTTGGAGCAGGACCCCAGGCCCGGGAACGACTCCGTGGCGAGCCCCGAGATTGCCGAACCTCCGAGCCCAGCGGGCATCCGAGCGCAGGACCGGGCGCCCAGGCACCGCAGCGCGCCCCCCGCCAGGATGCCGGTGGCCCCAGCGCCCTCAGCCGACGGAGGTGAGCGGCAGGTCTGAGCGGGGAACGCGGACGCAGAGCTGGGGTGGGGGGCTGGGGGCCGACGGACCCTGTCCTCATTTCCGACAAAATCGCCACCGATCCCCGGCGCGACAGGGACCTGGGCGCGCCGCGGCGGCCGGAGCGCTCCACATCAGCACCCCTCCCCCAGAGCCGCTGCAGGAACGCGAAGGAGGCCTTTCCACTGCACCCGCAGCGTTCACAACTGGCTGGAGCTGAATACCTGGATGAAAGTGGAGAGGTTGTTGGTGGAGACATTCCATCAGTCGTTTTCCTTGGACCGTTAAAAAGTTGGGCGCCCTCAGTGCCAAGGCCTGGGGACGCTGGACGTGAGAGAGGGTTGTGGTCGTTCGCCTGAGAAAAAAATCACTCTTTTAAACAATTTTTGCCAGAAAATTAGTTTTTTACTAACACTTCTCAAACAAGGCAATTAGGGCCGTCAGAATTGATGCTGGAAGACAAGTCCCGGCAATGCAATAATGAAGTTCCCATGGAAAGTCAGTATGTTGTGTTCAGAACTGAGATAATGGCTAGAGAAGGGGCTTTGGGCTTTTTGAGTCTCTGAATAGCCTGTCTCTCTCTTTGTTTCTCTCTCTGTCTCTCTCTCTCTCTCTCTGTCTCTGTGTGTCTCTTCCTCTGACTTTCTGGCTTTGGACACTCCCAATTTCTTTGTGGTGTTTTTATATTTAGATATAAGAGAGGAACTTCTTGTTGGATTTTTTAAGGGAACACACTTCGTTTTGACCCTTACAATAAAGAAAGGGGAGCTATGGGAACAGAGACCTCTTTGGAAGGTTATTTTTAAGTGGAGACTCACCCTGTATATAGTACCCACTCCTAGCTGTACCTCTGAGACCTCTAGAATTAGGCGTCATTCTAAAATCTGGACATTAGAAGTCACAGACTTTGTATATAACCACATACTCATAATTTATCTTTTCGATATTTTTTATTCATAGACAAAAATCTCGCAGGCATGGTTAAGAAAAATATAATTCCTAGAAAGTACAAGGGAAGGATTATGTTCTGCAGATATGTGACTAACAAGGATAGCTGGCCATTCCCAGGGCTGATGTTGGTTGAGGAGGTGGTGATGGTGTGATGTGTGTGTGTGTGTGTGTGTGTGTGTGTGTGTGTCATGCTTGAGGAGTTGTGGAAGTGTTCATATCTGTAAAGTATTGTTTCGTGGATGCAGAGCTCCGTGCTGGGATGAATGACTTTGTTGCCACAGAAGAATCACACATCAGGCTTTTTTCATCAGCAAACCAGTAAACATTCGCTCTAGGCCTCCAAAGTCACTCCATTACCTCACACCAGAGATCCAAACTGAACCTAGCCCTTACGAGCCTCCCCTAAGATTTAGAGAGAATGATTTCTCAACCAGTTTTCATCTTTGAAAATGCCATCTTCCTGTTTACCATGGTGAATTTTTGTCCAATGCATGAGTCCCCGATTTTCTACCAGATGCAAAGGGTAGAAACTACAGTTTCCTATAGGAGAAACTTTACATAGCTTCTTATTCCTAAAGATCTTATTTCTCAAAATTCAGGACTGGTTTTCCTCTTTCTGGAAATTATGACACTGATTTGATTCCGTGATATCTCTTTCATCTTCCTCAATACCTATACTGTATGTACATATTTTTATTACCGAAAAAAAAAAAAAAAAAAGAGAGAGAGAGAATTTGAGCACGCCACAATCTTGGAAAATCTGAGGTTGCCCTGTTGTCGAACCGTTTAACTGCCAGGACTTTGTACTGTTTCCCAAATGTGACCAGAGCTGGGCCACCAGCCTTCTGCAGTCTGTCTCCCTTAGCCAGAACAAGGGTGCTGCGGGTTCATATTTGACTTCCTAATTCCTCTCTTATCAGTTTTGAAGCCATTTCCTATTATTCCTCTGCCATATGTTTTCTGCCAAATTAATTGCCTTAAGATTTTCCTTAAGCTTTTGGAGATAATATAATGTTTGAAAGAAAAGGAAAAGAATAGACTGAGTGGAATCACATCTAGTTTCAGCTAATAACATGTTTCAGCTGTTGTTACTGTTATAGCTACTGGGCATAAAGTCTTCTTCTCTTTTTTGAATCCTATTTTTGAGGAATTGAAGCTGTGTCTATAAGAGGGACATGACGACAGGCCAGTTGGGTCAAATCGGTGAAGAGATTGTCCACTGCAGATTGGTGCCGTGAGTGGATCTTCACTGCCTGAAGGCCGGGCTGGGGTCAGCTCACACAGCGAGGTGAGAGTCCACTCCTCAGGCAGTAGATGGTGATCTTTGGCCTTGAAGGTGCCACTCCATTTTCCTGGCTTCAGAATTTTCCAGATATTTCAGTGCCCCCAGAATGGCATTCTACGATTGTGCTGGCATGGAAGCACGAGGCAGTTTGTCTCTAAAACATGCTAGAGAATCCCCTGTCACCATCTAGGCAAAGAACCAGTGGCAAGGTGGCAGCCTCCCAAAGAGCTCATCCCTAACGTGATGTCCTGGAATCAGATGGCAAGGACACCGGCCAGCTCAGTCTCTTCCAAGCTCTGTGACTAAGGACAAGGGACCCCACTCCCCAACCTCAGTCTCCTCTTGTGTACATTCAGAAGGCAGATGCTGTCATGGGGGCTGTGTGTGCTATGTCCATGGTGCAAGGTGGCACACATGTCGAGTCACCAGGTGAGACTGCTGCTTTGGAAAAGGATAGGAAGGATCTCAGATAGACTTTGAGGGCAGGATGCCTCTTACTTGAAGGTGCCTTTAGCTGTCTGACAGAGCCTGTTTCCACAGCCCTGTGGATTCATGCCTGTGGAAATCTTGAGAGTCATTTAATCCTATGCCATCATGAAGAAACAGCAGAATGGAGAATGTTTAAAAAGAGTCATGGACAGACAAGGGGGTCAGACACCTCCTGGATCAGACGCACTTGCCTCTCCACACACGTCTGGAAGCTGAGGACGGCGTTCATGGAGGCAGATGCTCGCGGACAGGGACTGAGTTTTCTGGGGCACAGCCTCCATCTCTAGGGTTCCCTGGACTGTGCCCAGATAGCTCATAATGGCCCAGCCTTATTTGTGACAAAGAAGGACTTGTGAAAAAGCCACCGGGAAGCAGTAGGTCTAACCAGAGAAGTGCACTGACTTCCATGCTCTGAAGAAGAAAAGGGAGAAAAGATACGAAGCTCTCACCTGGGTTGTCTGTAACAGTTGTTATTTCTCAGGGAAGCTGCATTAATGGGCCGAGGATGTGTGGCTGGGTGTGTGAAACATGCATTTTGCAATGGACTATCTCCAAAAGCAGAGTGAGGTCACCCAAGAAATACAGAGCAAGGGAAAATACTCATTAGCAAAGGAATTTTGCTGGAGCCGTGAAACGGCCGACTCACTACTTCCTTTCTACGTTATTTTAAATGAAATTTTTTAAAATCTTGCTTTCCAAGAAATTTTGCTTGTTGGCATATGTTTGGTGTCTTAATTCAGTTCGGAGGATGAACTAGTTAATTTCCCTGGGAATACATGCCTATTAAAAACATCCTGCATCTGACCAAGAGAAGTTTCTTACTATCTTCTTGTGCTTTTATGTGGAGAGAGAAAGGGGGGTGTTGTGAAGGAGACCAGACTGTGGAAACATTTTCTTTATTTTTTCTCTTTTTCTTCCTTTTATAGTTTGTTTACTTTTCAACTTGACATGGGTAGAGAAAGTGAATCGCTAGCATAGAAAACACATCTGGAATCCATCTGGCCTCGTCTCTCTGGCTCACGCTCCCCCCAGCCATGCTTCTCCATGGAAATGGGGGGAAGATAGGCACCTCTGACCCTTGGCAGGGTCTGACTTGGGGTCATCCACAGCAGACTCAGCTTTCAGAAGTTGTGTTATTCCTTCTCAACAAAAAGAAAACGTGTTGGTATTAAAATGCTTTGAAGTAGTCTGGATGATCCCAGCTTAGTGAGGATCACATGGAAACCCTTAGGTAATGGGGTCTTTACTGAGTAAACTCAGGGAAGCTTACATGTGAGCGGTGTCTCTCAGTAAGATGCAGAAGATGCAGACAATCAAATACTAAAGTCTCTTGAAGAGCTGGGTGGTGGGCGGGGTCTGCCCAGGTGGTCAGGGAAATGTGTTAGTGCAGCACTTGAAAGAGAGTGGAACGTCCAGGCAAGGATCTGCCATGGAGGCAGGCAGTGGGGGCGGCCCAGCATCAGTGTCTGTATTAGAAGACCACCGCTCATGAGGAGGAGCGTCTACCCTGCAGCTGTCCATACTCCTGTGTCTTCAGTAATGTGCCCAGCTTCCTGAACATACAGAAAACTAGTCTGCAGAGAGCCACATGTCTCCGCATCTGAGTGTTCTAAGTGTTCAGGTGGAATTTAAGCAGCAATCAAATTTACAATGTCACGGCCAGCTCTGGACACTTACCTTTTGGAATAAAGCACAGCGTGAAGACTAATACTGCATCAGTCTTGCCCTCTGTTGGGGGCCACCCTTCCTCCCCACACCAGTTTCGCAGGATGGGCTGGCCACAGTCTGGAAAGCTCAGTGCCTCCGAGTCCCAGACACCAACACACCACTCACAGATCGGCATTGGCCCTGCGGAAACATGGACACGTGTTTGCCGAGAGAACATCCTCAGTCAACCCAGCAGTGCTACCTAATGATAACACATGGGCCGTGGAAGAAATTACCCCACGTCCATAAACAAGAATGAAGAGAGGAGAGTGTATCTGCCCACACCATGAGAGCAAGAAGGAAAATTCAGCACGCACGTGCATCTATGTGCATGACTCATGCAAGCATCATAGGGAGAGGACAGCAACGGACACAATTGTATCCTGCAGGGTTCTGTTCATGTGAAGTCAGAAGCGGGCTAAACTCACCTAGGGGAGAGTCCTATCCCAGGTAGGGGTCATGCCTGGGGGAAGGTGGTGACTAGGAGGGGCACAAGGGAGACTGTAGCCCCACCCTATTGCTGGCCTGGGTGCTGGTCTCACTGATCTCTGTGTGGTGGGGCAGGCCAGCCTCCCAGGCCTGCTGGTACCCGCAGTGCCTGGCAATGTTAGTACCTATGCGCCAGAGTGGCTGACTCTCCTCTTGCCCTGAGCAGGGCTCACTGACTCCAGGAGCCTCAGGCTGCAATGGGCTTTGAGCTTTCTTCTAGCAAACTTGAGATCTGTGGCTGGTACCCCTCAGGAGCAGAGGGGAGATCTTGTCCACGAGATGCTTTTAACTGTGCACAATAATGTGTAGACACATCCAAAATCAATCTGGCCTTTACCCCAGCACTTAACTCTTGGGATGAGGACTGCTTTGTAAATGTTGATAACCCAGAAAAAATGAGCTTTTAGATTCCAAAGCGAATCAGATATCTTCCACTTATGCAAAATGCGGAGAATCATATTTAACAAAACATGTTCTGGACAAATATGCTTCTTGAGAGATGAATATTTAACTATAAGGGAAATGATAAATCAAACGTTAATGGGAAAATATGTTTGCCCTCAAGATTCATGGTTTTGATGGGTCTCTGGCACATCTTTTTCTATGTTTATTGGGATTATTTTATTGCTGGTTATTAGTTTTTAATTGTTTGCTTGCTTTCTGCTCTGCTAAATTTTGTACGAGCTGTGGAGCTGTGGGTCTGTTCACCCTCTGCTTTCAACTCCCGGGAGCAAGTCCAGGTCTGGCTGTTGGATGCATGGCAAAAGCAAAGGTGTGGAGAAGGTTCGGAGGAGCCAGGACATGTATAAAATGGTAGTGTCAGGTTATCAGGGGGGAAACTGAGGCACAGGAGGCAAGCTGAGTTAGTACAAGAACAGTCTGAATTATAACCATATGCCAGTGTTACCTAAAAGGATGAGGAACATGGAGCTGTGCTTGAATCCCTACCTAAGCTGGGGAAAGGGGCCTCAGGTATCTCTGACATTGGAACCAGGGTTTGTCTGCAGCGTGTCAGTTTCTGAGGTAGAAACCCCATAGAGTGGTGTGGGTATCCCAGCAACGCTGTAGGATAAACCTGGCCACTGCGGTGTCATGGACAGCTGGCTGCCTGCCAGGTGAAGGCCCCTCCAGTTGCTGTGTAAGCCGGGAAGTTCGTCCTTTCGGCAGCATGGCGAGGGCTCTGGCCCCAGCGGCTATGGGAGGGAGGCTGCTGACACAGGGCACTTCTCACAGACTGCCTGTGCTCCGTGCCTTTTCCATGATCACGAGTCACTGTTCATATGGAAAATGGCAGAGCCGTCGTGGCACCCATTGGCACTGTGCTCTGGTACTGGAGGTGACGGGAGACAGCCGGGGGGCCCAGGTTGTCCTCACACTTGGCTTCATGCCAGGGTGCATGCCAGGCACAGCACACATGTCCCCGAGAGGTCCCTGATCAGGGCTGGAAACCCAGCAAATTGAGAATCAGAAACAGTGATTTTCCAGTCTCTGTTCACAGATAAATAAATAAATAAATAAATAAGCAATACAAGGTCGGACGTGGTAGCTCACACCTGTAATCCCAGCACTTGGGAGGCCAAGGCAGCAGATAACTTGAGGTCAGGAGTTCAAGACCAACCTGGCCAACATGGTAAAACCCCATCTCTACCAAAAATACGAAAATTAGCTGGGTGTAGTGGCAGGCGCCTGTAAGGAGAATGGCTTGAACTGTGCATGGAGGTTGCAGTGAGCCGGGATCGCGCCACTGCACTCCAGCCTGGGTGACAGAATGAGACTCCTTCTCAAAAAGAAAACAAAAATACTAAAGGGACAGCATCTTTTGAGCACCCGTCAGTGTACAGGATGCTGGGGAGAGTACCGTGAACTTACCCAGGTGAAAGTCCTCCCATTAATGGATAAGCTCAATGCTCAGAAAATGCTGCTGTCTATGGTATTGTTCCTCTTAAAGAGACAGTTTGCAGTAGTTTTTCAAAAGGGGCATGCAGCCTCAGAGAAAAGTCACCAGGGGCTGGGATGATTCCAAAATGTTACAGAGCAAGTGGAATTTGACTTGAGGCTTGAAGGATGGGCAAGATTTAAATAAAAATCAGAAACGGTAGAGAGAGAAGGGCTGGGGGTGGGGGAAGGCTGCCCACTGAACTGTCCTGTTCGCCTCCAGGAGAATCTACAGGCATCATGGTCTCTGCTCAGGTGAACGGTGAGACAGGTAGGGCTGGCGGCTGGTGTGGGTGAGCCACAGCTTGGGAAGGCAGGCCCAGGGCCCTGCGCTGCCTGTCATGGCTCATGAGTGATAGGGGAGACCTGGACAGGCAACCTCTTCTTGTCCTGCATCATCAGCCAGATGTGGAACTTGACTTTTTCTTTCTGCAGTTAGCAGAGGGCCTTGGCCAACACATAAGGCTTTCTGCCAGCACTTGGCATTCCAGCTGACCTCCACCCACGCCTCTGTGACTTCAGGAGGCGCCAGCTAGGAAGGGTCAGGGCAGTTTCAGGCAGAGCACAGACATCAGCTCAGACATCCCCTCCTGGGGTTTCCAGAACAACCAACACCTCTAAGCTTCAGGACACTGGAAAAAGTCTTTGCAAAGTAGCAAGGGGCCATCTCTGGAAATCCAGGATCCCCAAATTGATGTAGGGAGAGAAGGGATTTGACAGCTTCCACTACTCTAGAGGGTCACAAGGATATGGAAATCATTTGGAGCCACCTCTGCTTCTCAGTCCCAGACAGGCAAGCCCCCGATCTTCAAGGGAATGAACCTGGTAATAAACTCACGGGTGGATGAGATTCAGAGTCTACCACACCCTAAAATGAAGAGCCCATAGTATTAGTGAGTGGTTCATGTGTCTCTGAAGCAAATTTAGGGCTGTGGTTTAAACATTGTGAAAGTTAAAAAAAAAAATTCACTGTATATACACAGTGGGCTATTTTAAATTAGCCTCTTCTGAACTTAATTAGCTATTTAAAAACTCAAATAATAAATGGTGACTGGGTGTGGTGGCTCACACCTGTAATCCCAGCACTTTGGGAGGCCAAAGCGGGCACATCACAAGATCAGGAGATTGAGACCATCCTGGCTAACACAGTGAAACCCCGTCTCTACTAAAAATACAAAAATTAGCCGGGCATGGTGGCACGCACCTGTAGTCCCAGCTACTTGGGATGCTGAGGCAGGAGAATCGCTTGAACCTGGGAGGCAGAGGTCGCAGTGAGCGAGATGGAGCCACTGCACTTCAGCCTGGGTGACAGAGCAACACTCCATCTCAAAAAAATAATAATAATTAAATAATAAAATAATAAATGAGTCCACTGAAAGCGACTTCTACCTTGGTGGTTGGGTGTGCGGCCTCACCGACATCACAGAAGGCTGATCAATATTATCAGTGTGGCTGAATGCAAGTATTTGAGGTCTGGTGGGGGAAGAGTTGGAATTCAGAACCCGTCAAGGCCTTTGCTCACCACTTTCCCTTTCTTGCGGGGAACACTCTCACCACCGTGCTCTTCTTGGTCATCTGCAGCTTCCCAAATGTGGCACTTCTGTTGGCTGACATGCACCCAGGTAGTTCTATCTGTATGTAGGGCTCTGAATTTTAAGCCAGACTCAGAGTCGGTGTGATTGGCACTGCTTTCCTGTCCTTCCTTATCCTCCATAGACTTGGGTCCCTTTTTTGCAGGTTGGT